TAAAAAGGTTAAAATTGGAAAATTTTTAAATTTTGGGAAAAATTTGAATTTTAAATGGGTTAAAAAAAGGGGGTTTTTTTTTTTTAAAAATAAAAAAAAATTTTTTTAAAAAGGGGGGGAAAAAATTTAAAAATTTTTTTTTTGGGGGGGTTTTAAAAAGGAAATTTAATAAAAAATAAAAAAAAAAGGGGGGGGGGAAAAAAAAATTAAAGGGGGGTTTTTAATTAAAAAAAATTTTGGAAAGGGGGGGTTTTAAAATTTTTAAAAAATTTAAAAATTTTTAAAAAAAAATTTTTTTTTTTTAAAAAAAGGTTTTTTTTTTAAATTTTGGGGGAAACTTTAAAAAAATTTTTTTTAAATTATTTTTTTTTTTTTTTTTTAAAAAAAAAAAAAAAAACAAAAAAAAAAATTTTTTTAAAAAACCAAAAAAAAATTTTTAAATTTAAATTTTTTTTAAAAAATTTTTTTTTAAAAATTTTTTAAAAAAAAATTTATTTTTTTTTTTTAAATCAATTTTAATTTTTTTTAAAAAAATTAAAAAAAAAAAAAAAAATAAAAAAAAAAATTTTTTTTTTTTTTAAAAAAATTTTTTGGGTTTTGGGGATTTGTTTTTTTTAAAAAAAAAAAAAATTATTTTTTTAAAATTTTAATAAAATTTTTAAATTTTTTTTTTTAAAAAATTTTGGTGGAAAATTTTTTTTTAAAAAAAATTTTTAAAAAAAATTTTATAAAAAAAAAAAAAAAATTTTTTTTTAAAAAAAATTTTTTAAAAAAAAAAAATTTTTTAAAAAAAAAAAAAAGGGGAAAAGGTTTAAAAAATTTAAAAAAAAAAAATTTTAAAAATTTTTAAAAGGGTTTTTAATTTTTTTATAAAAAAAAAAAAAAAAATTTTTGGGAAAAATTTTTAAATTTTTTTTTTAAAAAACCCGGGAATTTTTTTAAAGAAAAAATTTTTAAATAAAATATAATTTAAAATTTTAAATTTTTAATTTTTTTAAAATATTTTTTTTTAAAAAAAAAATTTTTTTAAAAATATTTTTTTAAAAAATTTTTAAAAATTTTTTTAAAAAAAAAAGGGGGAAAAAAAATTTTTTTAAAAAAAAAAAAAAGGGTTTTCCTCACCTTCTCCCTAATTGATATTCTATTATGTCCAACGATACACAATTGAATAAGACGATCAATCCCGCTACATATTAATAGGTAAAAAAAAAGAAACACTGACTTCAAATGTATGTAATATTTTCTTTCTCAAGCACCTGATACTTTTAAAATCTGCTAAGTCTATCTAGCAAGATGCCATTTAGGTTTATTAGCAGATGGTTATTCTCTTGAGATTTCAAAGAAGCACAGCAGAAAGAAAAACCAGCACTTCTGTTAAGAATTCACTCGGACTCAAACATGATGTTCTATGAAGAATGAGATTTGAAACCAAATAAAATTCAATGAACGGTTGGTTTCATATTTTTTTTCTTTAAGGACGTAGGCGATCACAGCTCTCCACGACTCCTTTTCTTTAATATAACTTCCATGACTTTCTGGTAAGATAAAGGAGTTGCTTTTTCCATTGCTTTGAATTTAGAGTTGTCCTTCTCCTAGACTGGCTGCTAGCCAGGCCTAGAGTGCAGTATACCCTGATATTTGACCCATAGATGTGGACGAAGAAGAGATAGATTCATACCTTTCCTATGCTAAATTGAATGCAACTGCCTAGAGCGGAACTTGAACTTGTTTCTCCGATTCTATTTTTGTTACACGTTGGTTCCATACATTTGTTAATTAATCAGTTAGCCTTACAGAGAAATTTAATCAAAACTTTTCGACTTTGTGAAAATTATACGGGTTCGTCTGGAGAAGAGTGAGGCAATTCGACCAACATTAAGTGAAGGTAAAGAAAGTCGATTTTATTCGAACGAATCTATCTCTAAGTAGAAAATTCATACAGACTGTTCCTGCTTCTATATCGTTCTGAATATACAACATATGACGAACCAATGACCTTGATTCATGCATTCTTCCATAATTCTCAAATACTAGTTTACTTTCATTTCTTTTCAGTCATCCTCTTTATCCTTTTCTTTCTTTTTACTTTTCTTCTTTCTTTCTTCTTTTCTCTCTCTTTTTTTTCTTCCTTATCTTTTTCTTTCCTTTTTTTCTTACTTTTCTTATTCCTTCTTTTTCTTTCATTCTCTTCTTTCTTCTCTTTTTTCTTCTCTTTCTTTATCTTTCCCTTTTCGGTATGTCTTATCTTTATCTATCTCCTTTCTTTTCTTTTCCTTCTTTTTCATTCGCTTTTCCTCTTCTTCCTTCTTTTTACTTTATTTTTTCTTTTTCTTTTTTCTTTCACCTTTCTTTTTTTTTCTCCTTTCTTTCTTTCTTTCTTCTGCTTACTTTTCTCGTTTCTTTTTCTTTCATCTTTTTTCTTCTTTTCTCTCATCTTCTTACTTTTTCTTCTTTTTTGCTCTCTCCTCTTTCTGTTCTTTTTTCTTATTTCTTTTTTCTTTCTTCTTCATACTCAGCCTCTCTCTCACCCTCCACTTCATTATTTTTATTATTTCCTATTGAAGAATCTTGAAACTTTTCTCATTAATTCGAAAGGAATTACTTTCTAATCTGACAACGATAAATACGCTCCTGGAGAAGACCGGATATTACGCAAATCACGGCGCTATTACGTGAATAATTGAAAGTTTTAGTGGCCGACTGAGAGAAGGGAACATTTCGATAACCAATGACCTGTAAACGATTTTACCCTCGGCAGACAACAGGAGTTGAAACAATTATGACTGCTGTATAGATATCTTTAACAGTAAAATTTTATATTCGTTTCCCATATTTAATAGTTTCTCAGTATCAAATGTCTGATTAATTTTTATGCAGTTTTTCATTTTGTCAAAAGGCTCTTTATTTCTCTTCTTGAGAAATCAATTTTTTAAAGTCCGACGTGCGAAAATAAATATCAGACATTCAAATTAGCGTAGCATTTCAAGATTGATTTGCACGTACAAAAAAGATTGTGGAAAACCAGCAACCAATGAATAATCGTTTCAGATTGGGAAATATATTTGATGGTAGAGGCTGTCAGTGAGATCTCATCATTAAAATCCGTTAATTTCATCCCCGCCTCCCGAAGATGTTAAATGCTTAGTCAAAACATACGCATTCATAAATAAACATATCCACAGAACACAGAACATATACACACCCAATTTTGATTTGTCATAAATACCCAACGACGTACAGGAAAATATTTCGGGTCCTTCCGTATTCAATTGTTTTTTGTTTTGTTTTGTTTATTTTTTTTTTTTCCTTTTTACTGGCGTTTATGACATGTATGTCACCTTCCAACTGTTAGGAAGATTGGCAAAACACAATCCTCCGAAAAATATTTGAATTGGCCAATCAATGCCTTCAAAAGTAACTATTCTGCTTCAACCAATAGAAAACTTTAAGAGACTTATTGATTCATAAACATCATCTCGGCTTCAAAAAACGTCCTTAAGACGACTGAGCGGAGTCGCTAATAGCAAAATATATATATATACCTTTTCTTCTTCTATGTACCGTGTCCCTTCAAGACATGGGCGATCATGGCTCTCCACAATTTCCTGTCCTTTGTAGTTCTTAGTAAAGCTTGTCTTTTTGCTATCACTCCTAAACACTGTTCTGCCATCCATTTGCAAAAGCTCATTAGGTAGGTCATATGCTATTTTCCTCTGTCTTTCTTGTCTACAGTATGCCCTGTGAGTGTGTAGTCTCCAAGCCCTCTTTCCACTTTATGTGCTCTAGAATTGTATCTTTCTGATTGTAAGTATAAGTGTCATTCTTGTTTACATTTTGCCTAAAACTTCTTCGTTATCCACATGTTCAGTCCATGGTATTCTCTGCATGCTTCTGTAGAACCACATTTCTGTGGCCTCAAGTGTCTTCATCATCTGTGAGAGTATTGTCCAGTATTCACTGTAATATAAGGAGAACTGATATTGCATAACAGTTCAGTAGTATTTTCTTTGTAACAATTTTTTCTATTTCTTTTTAATTTTGGTAGTTCCAATTTGTAGTTGGCATCTTGGGCTGTTACTTTTCCTGCCAACCATTCATTCTGTCTTCTTACAATTGACATTTAGTCTACACCTACCGACAGATAACTTACCAAGAATGTTTATGTTTCAATTTATTGACTGAATTCGAAAGAAAAATCAATTTCTTTTTATTATCATCAAACACTGCAAGACCAAGAAGGATGACATATGCGTGTAGCAGTTGCCAGCTAGAGTCATTCAATTTGTTCTCGCATTCATGTCAGTGGGAGGAATGAAGGTATATCAAATCTGAAATCAAATGACAATTCAACAAAAATGTACCCAGACCCAATGATGCGAATCTGTTGCATTGAGAAATCGTCACTTTATTTAACTCTTTCTCCAGTTACATAAGCAGAAAGGTATGCACAAAACTGTTGACATACTAAATACGTTACGGTGGGTTGCGTGGTTTTGAGTGGAAAAATTCTAAAATTTAAATAGGGCTGCTAACATTTAGCCTTAGTTAAGACTCAAACTCTCTCTCTCTTTCTCTCTCTCTCTCTCTCTCTTTTCTCTCATACACACATACATAGATATGAATAGATAGGTATATATAGATATATATGGATGGATATAGATATAGAGATATATACATATGAATAGATATATATGAATATATATATGTGAACAGATAGATATATATGAATATATATATATATGAATATATATGGACATATATATATGAACAGATAGATACATGAATATATGAATATATATATGAACATATATATACATATATGTGAACAGATACATACATATAATAGATAGATTTGAATATATATATATATATATATATATGATTAAAGACATATGAATATATATATGAATGTATATATATATATGTGTGAATAGATACATATATATATATATATATAAATAGATACATATGAATAAATATATATATATATGAATAGATACATATGAATATATATAAATGAATAGATAAATATGAATATATATATATATGAATAGATAGATATATAAATCGATAGATATATATGACTAGATATACATATAAATATATATATATATATATAGATACATATAAATACATATATAGATGGATAGATACATCTGAATAGAAAGATATATATGAATAGATATATAGAGAGATATGAATATATATATATATGATTAGATAATAATAGCTGGCTACTCGTATTCCATGATACCCTTCTACAAGGGCGGCTAGCGTAACCCTATTGCAGACGCTCAAGCACATCTGCATTTGTTCAACACCCATAGAGGCAACCTGGTTTATACTGCAACTATGCTGAGAAGACCTTAGTTACAGTTTCCGGGAGAGCGCGTTATCTACAATGATCAACAATCTGACTTGTGATTCGTGTTAGCAGGGTTCCATCAACACGTGTTCATGACAGGGTTTGCTGCACGCTGGAATCGCTGTCTCGAGACCAATAACCCCTTCCTAAACTGAATTGAAAGTCGAAAAATAGAGTCTCATGGTCAGAAAGCGAATATTCTCACCACTCAAAGGCCATCAATTTACATTTTATTTTTATATTTATATATTTATTTTTATATATATATATATATATATATATATATATATATATATATATATATATATATATATATATATATATATATATTTTATATAAAATATAATATATAATATAAATATATATAACATATTTATATATATATTGAAAGATTTAATGGATATAATAGATCATATTTTTATATGATAGATATTCGATATATATATAGATATATATTTTAGATATAGATTCTATTCCTAATTTACATGGATAAATATATACAGATAGATTTTTTTTGTCTGATAAATAATATATATATATAAGGATAAATATACATTATAGATAGGATAGATAAGATGGATAGATATATACAGATAGATAGATATGAATACATTGACAGACCTACAAATTTGTACTTGTGTTTGTAACAAAATTTAATTCATTTTTTTTTCTTTTCACTTTTTAAGTCTGGTGCCGTCATCATTACTGCTCTTCGTTTTGGCCGTCAATCAACTCCTCCTGACAGTTGGTTTTGTAACATTAAGACCAAAATACGATGAAAGCTCAGTCAATTTTATTCTTTTTTATTCATAATTACAAAATGATAATCTTGGATCTCACCTCGTTCATCGCGCCGAAATAAAAAAAAAGCCGCCAATGTTACATGATCACCAAAATCAACAATTTAAATAATTCATCCAAAATTAATTATTGGGTGTCTAACGATATTAATGTTTGATATATAATAAGTTTATATTTCTAATAATTCTGATAAATTTATAAATAAATGTTATGTTTTTCATTTATGGGAAAAGTAATCTCTCTCTCTCTTTTTCTCTCTAAAAACATACACACATGAACAATTTTTTTATTTTAAGAATAAAATCTTCCATTTCATTATTCGGACTCAGTACCCTCATAAACATTTTTATTCATATTTCATTTCGACCAGTTGTACGCAAACTGCTGTTCATGTGATTGGAATTTTTCTTAACGAACTTTACTCAATTCTCTCCTAGTTTGGTTCACCACTACTGTGGCCTGGTATTAAACTCACAACTCTTTGGGTCAAGTTACTGGATCTAACCAACGTCTTTATCCACTGGGCCATATGTCCTTGATCCGGAAGAGGCATGGCACGTGGAACTAGAACAATCTACCCCGGTGAACGAAATAAAGGGTTCGATCGAAAAATACAATCACCAGAAGAAGGGCGGAGCGTACAACGGCCGAAACGTTGCGAATATGGCAATGAAGATGAGGATAACAGCCCGAATAATGTAAATAATGTAAGTAATCATAATACATCATCTCAGAGATATAGACAGAATAAAACACATAATCTACTCTAATATAAGTTCGGAATTCAAACGTAAATCCCAAGTCCTTGCTAGTAGATCAGATCTAGCCATCAAAAAAGACAAAAAGAAAATTTATCAATGGATGTCAATATTACGACAGATCATAAAACAAAATTAAAAGAAAATGAAAAGCTAGGGCAAAACTTTCTCTAAATAAATCAAAAGAGTTGAACACATTTTGGCATATGAAAAAAGATCGAGAAAAAGAAGAAAAAATGGTAAATTAGGTTTAAAAATTTTGAAAATGATTGCGTTCCTGAACAATTTTTCGCCTTCTTTTTTGAGCTCCTGAGTCAAAATTCGCAAAGATTGGTATGTAACGTTTGAAAAAGATATAAAAATAGTTACAAAAATATAGGCATTATACTTAGCAGACAGAGAGTATGATTGCATGCCTTCACTTTATTCATAGAATTCTTTTGTTCAATTCTACCCAGCAGGTGCTGCCTCTCTTGATGCATATAGAATAGTAAAATACGACGCAATTGTTTAACCACTCATTTCAACCGGTTTCGACGGGCATTAAAATATTTTCTCTAACACCAATAAAGCGGTGGCCATGGCTCAAAGGGTTACCGTTCTACATTCAGAATTATCCTACAGGACAATAGTATACTGGGTTAAAGCATTTGGTGACATAGTAATTGTGAGTTCAATCCCTGGA